GCCTGGAAGTACTGCATTTTATTGATCTAAATTACTTAACGTAACAAGTTAACCTTCTTCTTGGAAGCAGAAATCAAGTCATTTTAAGAGTGCATTTAACGTGTACAGGGTAACAACAGACAGACAAAAAGTCCTCAGTCTAATGGAATAATCCCAATGAACCTAGCGATGTGAACATGGCAGTCCAGGAATGATAGTTTGATAAATATGAGTTTGATATACTTTATTAATCCCCGTGGGGAAATTGTTTGTAGCTGGAGTTGGCTGATAAACGCTGCTAGTCAATGTTGATTCGATGGTCAACTCTGTTCCCAGATAGTAAAACCTCTCACAAATACCGCGTATATAACGCAAATACCTCGGACTTAGTGATGTATTAAGACATATGACAAAACATGACATAAAACAAGCATACAGCACTGTTTAGAATCCATTTGGTCTGGTTTAGCGTAACCATGGCGGCCGCCATCTTTCACTTCTGTTGACAATATGCAGCTACCCAATTGGTGTAGCACGATCACGTGACGAACCGTGGCACGACTTTGGACCAAGATATTATTACGCTTCGAAGGGACTAGTTCAGCCAATAATTACGTGCCTAGAAGAATTGGCAGGAATTTTAGCGACGATATTTTTTTTGGTGGATAAGCATGACTCGTTCTTTTTTATGAACTAAAGATTGTGTAGTTTCACTTCTGTGGAGCGGGTTGAGACGATAACAGGGTTCACCTTATGGCCTATATGGAGATGCAGTTATTTCCAGCATTCTTTATTTACCATTCATTCAAGTATGTGATGCCTTTTATCTGCTAATGTACAGGAGGAAGAGTGATACACTGTCTGTCTACTTGGCTTACATAACAGTTACAGTTTACAGCCTAAAAAACATGGAGCATTTTTCCCCCTTTTATTCATTTTTATGTCAATTTGCACATTTCATGGTGATGCTCAGCCTCTCCCCTTAACTCCTAACAGTCATCATCATGGTGATGCTCAGCCTCTCCCCTTAACTCCTAACAGTCATCATCATGTCAACCACAACACAGAGAAATACTGAAATGTGTGTGTAGTTGTTGATGCATTGCTGACAGAGAGAACTACATTTGAATACAGATTTAAGAAATATCAGTTTTTGAGCATGTCATAAGCATGTTTTGTCTTGACTATATTACAACTATATTATAATAAAACAATATAGTATTTATATTATTGAATTGATTATGATTATTATTATTAGTAGAAGTAGTTTATTTGCATTAATTATATTTTAATCTTTTTGAGGCTAGTATTTGGCAGGAAATGCAAAATTCACCTGTAAACCCATACTGAACGACATTTACCATTTACCTCACTGTATAAAAAAGTAACCGTTGATAATAATAATAAACAGGAATTATATTTGCAAAGTAGCCTACTTTGTTTCCAAAAAAAAAAGTTCACTCCTGTCGGTTGGGGGGGCCTCATCTCACAATGTCGCTTGGGGCCCCAAGTTGGCCAGGGGCGGCCCTGGTTACACCCCTACTGTACGGAGTTCTGCACCTGCTGTGCAGAATGTCAAAATGTATCCCCTAACGTTTCTGAGGAACCTGACATTTAACATTATATTCTAGTATCTATATACTTGACCTCTCACAGAATTATTTGATGAATTGTATACTGTACTTTGAATTAACCTGTTAAGCCCCGAGTCTGTTTTTCAGGTCTCAGGCTCGAAAATGACATTCCCAGAACAAATGACCATATCTTCCCTTCTAAGAGGGTTACATTAATAATCTTTTTTCTCAAAGCAAGGTTACACCTGTGAGTTGGATGTATAAGTGTCAGAATCAATATAGATGTTTTTATTTTAAAGTAAATTCAGATTGAACACAGTAAAAAAAAAAAAATTATTGTGTCCGTCCAAAAAAAATAATTACTTATAGTGAAAACCAGTGGTGTAGTGGGCGTTGGACGCGGGGGTACGCCGTACCCCCACTTATTTGGAGCATGATCTTTTTTTTAAGTCTAATAAATATAAAATAATTGCCAGTGTTATCAGTTGCAAGTGTGTATTTGTTGTAATAATGACGAAAACATAATACATTTCACAGTAATTATAATAAAAAATAAAAATGATTTCCTTAAAAAAGTATGATTCATCATCACGCTCATGACCCCGCGGTCACTGACACACCCACGGCGAGCCAGCTCGCCGCGCCCGCCGATTTTGCGGAAGCTCTTTCCCTCAAGAACACTAACGAAAAAGCTCTATAATGGCAGGCTAACATGTTTTACTTGACTTCTTTTCTAAAAAGAATATAATTCACAAGAAGAAAGAGGCTAGCAGCACCGAAGCTACAAGTGAAGCTGCTAGTAATACATCATCAGAAGAGCCGCCTAAAGACGTGGATAATGCTAGCTAACGTGCACGTTAGCTGCGCTAGCAACGTTCCCCTGGCTATCTCAAGCTCACCTTTCCCAGAGGTATGGACGGAGGAGATGTGGCGGAGGAAACAAGAGGCTACCCGTGGATAGACTGCATAGCTGGGAAACTGGGATGCAAAGTTTGTTCATCCATTTAAGATGTATCAGTCTTCAAAACCCAAGGTGTGTGTGTGTGTGTGTGTGTGTGTGTGTGTGTGTGTGTGTGTGTGTGTGTGTGTGTGTGTGTGTGTGTGTGTGTGTGTGTGTGTGTGTGTGTGTGTGTGTGTGTGTGTGTGTGTGTGTGTGTGTGTGTGAAGCAGCGCTGTCTGCTTCTTTGCAATGTAGGCTAGGCCTAATCAGAATAATGTCAAGTCCAGATTCAATGTTGTTTGCATAAGTATGGCTATATTTTTCGTTTTGTTTATTTAATAATTTAATTTCAAGACAACTTTGGACATTTTGTTGGTTTGTTATGAGTTTTAAATAGATTTTGAAAGTGGAGAGAGAGATAGAGAGAGAAGCAGCACTGTCTGCTTAGTTGCAATACTGTAGCTTATGCAATTTAGGCCTATAAATTGTTTATGTAACGTATGTGCCAGTGTGTTCATGGTTTTGAGTCTGCGTGTGTGTTGAGCACAGCGCCGTCTGCTTTTTGCAGTACAGTAACTAAAGTAGGACTAAGCATACCGGTAGTTTCTGTGGACCTGTCTGCCCGTTATGTGAGTGCACTGCGCGCATGCGCACTTGTGTGGCATTATTTGGGATGACCTAATTAAAATAGCGTCCCCCCAGTAAAAAAATCCCCACTACACCACTGGTGAAAACCACCCTTGAATGATGGGATGGTAGACTAAAAGCTTCAGGAATCCAAACTACAACATATAATAAGTACCCTGTATCAAGATTGATGCAAAACAAGTGAAATTTGACCTTTTAGATAGATTTAGCAAAAAAAAAACACTTCTCGGGTCATTTGGGTGGATTTGACCTATCTCTGGCCCTCCTTGCTCGATTTTGCTGATTGACATCTCTTTCTAAACGTCAGAGCCAATGGAATCGAGGGGAACTCCTTATTTGGTAATGTGTGTGTGTGAGACTGACGCATAGCCAAAACCGGAAGCTGCGATAACTCTGGTGACTACCATTAGCAGCTAACTTTTACTCTCCGATTTTTACATAAAAATGGAATTATGGATTATAAATAAATAAAAATATTCCACAGAAACATTATCAACCTATGGATTAACCGATTCAGCCGCGTTTTTTCTCCTTTTAATGCCATTGAACAAGTCTTTTGATCAGATTGACAGCTAAGGTGAGACAATCTCCCGTAAAAGCTACGTAAAGGTACGTGTTGTGATGTCTGTGTTTGCTTTCCCTGTCGCGAGTTCGGATCACTCAGTGATGATACTATACCTAAATAATCTGTGGAACCTCAGCTTTAATTGGATATCTTGTATGTGCAGCTACGATAAGTAATAAGGGTACTTTTATCTTGAGTTCTGTGCCAAAGTGCGTTAGCATTTTTCGCTCAGGGGTCATTTAGATGCTTCTTATGAGACTTGTGTTTTGTTTTGGTAAAAATGGTTTGTATTGTCAGTTAGCTGAGATTATTCCCGTTCATCTGGTATAACACATTAATAGGTTCTTAAATATTAGGATCCCCTGAGACACAGTGTCGTGAAAAAAAAAAAAAGTGCCCGCCGAGGGGGACCTTGAGGCTTAACAGGTCTTAAGGTTCCAGTTTCAATAAAACCTGTACTATTTACAACTATGTTTTAGAGGCTAGAAATAATACACTTTATTGTATTGGGTGACTCTTATTCTGACTATTTGGTGATGTAGTTCAGCCACCTGGTATTTCCCTCTCCAAATATAATGACCATCAGAGTGAGCATTCTTAACTTGGCTATTGTACCACTTATCCCCCATTCGGAATTTGACTGTATCAGAGAAGAGGTAGGCCTATGTCTAAAGAAATCTCATTTGCAATAGAACTGTACCAGATATTTCCATACAACTACTGGTTAGTGTTCAATAGCACTCTAGACAATTCAGTAATGGTATATTTTTTTAGGGATTTCTGTTTTTCTGATAAATGAGAGAAAAGTGATTGAGTCCTATTTTCCTATCACCAAAAGCACAATTTCCGTCTAAACTAAAGCTAAGTCTACAGGACTATAATTCAGTATTTTATTAGTTAAATAATTGTCTGACTATTTGATGTAGGACAGCCACCTGGTTAATACCTCAGCAGATCTGAAGAGGAAAAGAGTGGCCATTCTCAAGTTATGGGCTTTTTTGTCACCTTTCCCATATTCGGCCTGGTCTAATTTGGCTCTTTTTTAGGGATTGGGGTAAAAAAAAAAAAAAAAAATGTTCTCCCCCAAAATAAAATGTGACAACAATCAATTTCATTAATGGGAGACCCTAAAGATAATTTGTTCTACCTCGCGTAGGGGTATCTCGAAAACTAAAGCTTTTTTTGAGGACTTGCTGCTGGACTATTAAGTATCCTTGCGTCAGCGTATCACGTGTTGGGCGCGCTCTCTTCTGACCATATTTGGAAGTACAGCTTCCTACAGGTTCAACCTCCACCGACTGGCTGCGGCTGCAGCTGGACCCTTCTCCAGTGAGGGACGGAAGGATTGCATTTAAGAGAAGTGAGATGCAGCCACAGTGACAATTGTGCAGCGGCAAGCAGAAGTAAAAGCTTCAAACATTGAATAACAGCAGCAGAAGAAGCGACATTATTCCTCTGCGTGTGAAAGATGTCCAGACTTCAGAGTCTAAAGCAGTATATCAACCAGCGGCTCACTGCGGCTGTCGAGGACATATTTGAGCACTTTGAAAGAACAATAACCGAGTATGAAGAGGAGATGGACCTCCGACACCGGAAACTGTGCGAGTTGGTTTCAAGACCTGAAGTACATCTGCAGACAGAAGCAGGTACGTTTCTGTCTCCTGTTGGAAACATGTTAAGTGATAATGCCCTCCGTGCTAAGCTAACGTTAGCATAACCCCCCACACACAGCCTGTTAGCAGCTATGTATCTGTGGTAAGATAACATTAGCTACACCCTCCAAACACAGCCTATAATGAGATAGCTTCTCCTTCCACATACAGCCTGTTAGCAGCTAGCTCATACCGGAAGCATGTTTACTACCAATGATATCCGTGCTAACTTACGTTAGCTAAACCCTCCACACATCCCGTTGGCAGCTAGCTTGTGATGGAAAAATGTTGACGGCTACTGCTGTCCGTGCTGAGCTAACGTTAGCTACATTCTCCATACATAGCTTTAGCTAAAGGGGATCACTGTCTGAGTTTAAAGAACAGACCAACATGAACCCAAATTCATTTATAAAGAGCTAGTAGCCGGTTTCAAGCTAGCAGTTCTGTAATGTTATTACACGTGCACGAGTAGAACTGACTACTGTGTAGGTGTAGCGTTTTAAAAGTTGTACATTATTATGTTTAACCCTCTGGAGTCTAAGGGTATTTTCTCGATTTTTAGATGTCTCCTTAAATGAACTTTTAAATGTACTTCTCATAACATGGCACCACATGTGTTACATATCAAAATATTCAGGACAGTCTCTGGTCTTGCTAGAAATGCAAGTCACTCACCCACCTTAGAGCACTGTGTGATGAGATGATTAGCTCTAAAGCTTAAGATTTGACATCCGATTTTTGGAAATCTTCAAAACTCCAATTGTTTTGGTGTTTTAGATGTGGTTACCAAAGTCTTAGGATCACACAAGTAGTGAAATATTTGAATTACACTGTATATAAATGTGTAATTCATGTCTAAAAAAAATAAATGTATTTTGAGTAGAATAGGTGTTTATCACTCTACTTTCACCACAGCAGGGACTGCGATACGTTAGGACTGAATAATGACTTCATATTACATACCGAGGTTCATGTGATGTGTACAAATACAAATTGAGCATTAACATTTTTTTCTTCTCAACCAACAATTTATTATAAATATGTTTTTTTTCAACCAACTATTTATACAAATATAAGAAACTGGAAAATCTAACTATTTACAATATTGAACATCAGAACTTTCAACCAACTATTCATTATAAATGTCAAGACAGTGTCAAGGTCTTTGTCTGTCTTCCAAGACAGTGGGTCTGGCTGCTGTGAAGATGGGGGTGATGGTGCATGGGCTGCTGTGTAGGTGGGGGGTCACGTGTGCTCTACGAGACCTCCACGAGACATTGAAATAAAGTTCAATTAAAATGTTGCACAAATAACAATGCACAACTAAAAATAAATTTTGGGAGGTGGTCTCTCTCTCTCTCACACAGGTATTTCCAGTTACTTTACATCCAGTATAAAACCACAGACACACACAGGGTCGGCCCTGACCAATTTGCTGCCCTAGGCAAGATTTTAGCTGGTGTGTTAACTGCATGTTCTGAGGCTCTATCTTCACTGCTGCTAGCGAAAAAAATCTCTAGCTAAGTCTGCAACTGAAACGTTTTTTTTAGCCATTTTCTCTGTCTCTCTCTCTCTTCCTCACAGACGTAAACTGATGGGAGACACGTGGTTTATGTTTTTTGGTGGGTAGGTTCTTAGTGATTTCTCGAGTCATGTTGGTAATTTCAGACCAACATGGCTGCCGGCCGAGATTTCCTTGACGGAAACACGAATCCACCAATCCCACACAGTGTAACGCCAAGTCAGGCTGCTTCAAGCAGCCCAATTGGCTGCTGTGCCCTGTTAGTCTCACAGGAGGTACCGCTGGAAAGCTACACTTCCAGCGATTCCGTGGTTATCTGAATCATATTTCTACTCCTTATAATCAAAAATATATGATTCATTATGTAAGTTATGCACATCTTGACGCACCGGCGAGTCCACCGACTCCATAGGGTTAATCATCTCCCAGCTCTACTTCAAGTATATTTTTATGCTAATACTTAACTGTACTTTTACTGAAATAAAGTTTTAAATATTATAATATGACTTATTTTAGTAAGTAAATCATGTTTTTGTTTGTACTGCTGATAACACAGGGTGTCCGCAGGGTCTTAAAAAGTATTAAAAGTTGATAAATCAATTTAGCGACAATTAAGGCTATTAAAAAGTATTAAACAGCATATTCCAAGGTATTACATTTTGTAGCTTGTCTTCAAGAAGTATATAAATTGTCCAAAGAGGTTGCATTCTACAGTGTGCCTGAATGTAATCATTGCGTAGGTGTGAGGTCTTAAAATGTATGGAAAGGGTCTTAAAAAAGGTCTTAAAAGGTATTACATTTGACTTCAGGATTCCTGCATATACCCTGTAACGGGTAATACAGGTAATCTGTTGTCTCTTCTATATTCTTTCTGCAGTGAACTTTTTTTGACACATCTGTATTCTCGATATCTGTATACATACACACATATATATATATATATATATATATATATGTGTGTATATATATATATATTTGTATGTGTGTGTGTATATATATATATATATATATTTGTATGTGTATATATGTGTGTATATATATATATATATATATATATGTGTATAAACATTAGGGCTGTCAAGTTAACGCGTTAATAACGCGTTAACGCAAAAAAAAATTAACGCCACTAATTATTTTAATGCGATTAACGCATGTGTATTTTTTTTCCTCGGCCGCCCCGTAGTTTCAGAGCGCATCGAGTTTAAAATACTATCTACAAGCTGATGCTGACAGCTCCTGCCGCCCGCTTGTGGCAGACCACACTTCCACGCTCACCGGCAGGCACCGACTGGCTATTGGGAGGACCGGGAGGGTGTGTGTATGTGTGGCCCGAGCGAGCGAGAGAGAGACCTTACGTGCATTGTTGTTGTTAGCATCTGGTGCTAGCTAGCTGCGCTAACGGATATAAGGAGCTGTTTAAATGAAAACAGAGGAGCGACATTTCGCCACAACTGCGCCGAGCACTTGACTTTATGCAGGAAGCCAGACAGTGGGACATTGTACGAGAAGTCAGCACACTCAGCACGGATAGTGCGCAACATGATTGCAGCGTCCAGGCAGCTCCCGTTCGAGCATATGCCTTGAGTTGCACATAGCTCCAACGATCCATCACACACACACACACACACACACACACACACACACACACACACACACACACACTTTGTATTGTATTATTGTAGGAGAGAGGTTCCAGGTTGAATTGAGGCGAATATTTGTAATGTTCAGAGGTTGTTGTGTTTAATATTCATGAGAATATTTGTCATTGTTCAAATGATAATAAACATTAGCATAAAGCATATTTGTCCACTCATATGTTGATAACAGTATTAAAAACTTGAAAAATATTCCTCTAAGGTACATTTAAACAAATCAAAAATATGCGATTAATCGCGATTAACTATGGACAATCATGCGATTAATCGCGATTAAATATTATAATCGACTGACAGCCCTAATATATATATGTGTGTATGTATATGTGTATATCAGGGTATCCGCTAGGATTTTTTCTCGCCGGTCAAATGTCCGGGCAGAATTTATTTTATCGGACAAATTTGAAACTTACCGGTCATATTTCAATAATAATAATAAGAGTTGTGTAGCAGAGTTTCCGTTAGCAGGTAATTACCGGACTATGACCGGATATGCTGATGTTTAAAACTCAGTTAATGGACTCATTTTTATATTGCTTCAGTTTATAATCGTAACAGATGGAAAAATTCAGATTAATTTTCCAATAAATTATTCCACAAACAACAAACAACATAATTATTACATTCAAGCAAACTACTTGTAGTAGATGAAGTACATTATTCAAAAGTTTACATTAACTTTGAATAATAACACGGGAGAAACGGATCCTCTCTTTTCCCCTCTCCCTCCCTCTCTCTCCTCACAGCCCGTCAGTTTCTCATGCAGCTCCTGCAGCTCGCTAAACAGTGGGCGGGGCTTCAGGTGATTATGCAGAGCTGCGTGTCTCCATCAGACTCAGCAGCTGATCTGATCTCTCTCTCGTCCGGTTATACTTCACTCGCGTTTATGTCCATATCGATCAGATCCAGCTCTCCTGATCGGCCTTTATAGAGAGCACCGATCAAACTATTAAGAGTGAATATCGGCCGATAATGACCGGCGGCCGATCTATCGGAGCCTTCCTAATTATTACCAGACATTTTGACCGGCAGGTTTTGAATTTACCGGTTTTTAATACATTTTACCAGCTAAAAACCGGTAATTACCGGCTAACAGAAACCCTGGTGTATATATGTGTGTATATATCTATGTGTGTTTATATATATCTATTAGGGCTGTCAAACGATTACAATTTTTAATCAGATTAATCACAGCTTAAAAATTAATTAATCATGATTAATCACCATTCGAACTATGTCCAAAATATGCCATTTCTTTATGTATATTGTTGTGGGAATGGAAAGATAAATGAAAGAAGGCGGATATATCGATTTAACATACAGTATCCATGTTTATTATAACATTTTTCTGCATGTCAAAATGAAAGACAACCCACACACCTATCAATCATCAAACCGTGGGGTCTTAATTCATTACGTGTTGATTTCTATCAACGGTGGAGTACTTCAGGAAAGTCGACAGAGGGGGGGGGGCGGCTAGAGGAGTACTTTGTGACCACAGAGTGTGAACGTTGTGATCAGCTGTTTTAGCGCAGTTCTCCAGTGAAGGGGGGGAGTCTCCCTCCGCAGCCGGTTGGCGTAGTTTGGGCACAATTCCGTTGTACAGACCGACGTTAACAGCAGCCCTGTCTGTGCACACGGAGACCGACTCTGTCGTCCGGTGATCTAACCGCCTTCTGGAAAAGCTTCACAAGTACGTCGGTGCGCTTTGTGAGACAAGTGACGGTACGCATTTCAGATTACGCACATAACCTGCATACCAGTTATGTGCACCCCTGTACTACAGCAAAAGTATTCTCCGTCGGGACTTCCTGCAACAACACCACGCCGTTATCTTGATTCTGATTGGCCTGAAGACATTATCAAAGATGTTCTATTGAGAAGACGATCACTACGTGACAAAAGTTTTCAAAACCGTTTCTGGTCTTCGGTATTTCCAGACAAGTGGCTACTGAAATCAATCTTACTAACTGCTGTCTGTGCAATTTACTCCACGAGTTGGCAGACTTTATTTAGTTTAACATCATTTTTCATGGTGGGGCTAAGCCATTTCTTGGTATGGGTGTAGCCTACCCCAGCCATACCCTGGCGCTGCCACTGGTGGCACGTATGGGGCGGGCCATTCTGCACATGCGTTAAATGCGTTAAATATTTTAACGCAATTAATTCAAAAAATTAATTACCGCCGTTAACGTGATAATTTTGACAGCACTAATATATATATATATATATATATATATATATATATATATACATACATACAGTGGGGCAAAAAAGTATTTAGTCAGCCACCAATTGTGCAAGTTCTCCCACTTAAAAAGATGAGAGGCCTGTATTTTCATCCTAGGTACACTTCAACTATGAGAGACAGAATGGGGGGAAAGAATCCAGGAAATCACATTGTAGGATTTTTAATGAATTAATTGGTGAATTCCTCGGTAAAATAAGTATTTGGTCACCTACAAACAAACAAGATTTCTGGCTCTCACAGACCTGTAACTTCTTCTTTAAGAGCCTCCTCTGTCCTCCACTCGTTAACTGTATTAATGGCACCTGTTTGAACTTGTTATCAGTATAAAAGACACCTGTCCACAACCTCAGTCACACTCCAAACTCCACTATGGCCAAGACCGAAGAGCTATCAAAGGACACCAGAAACAAAATGGTAGACCTGCACCAGGCCGGGAAGACTGAATCTGCAATAGGTAAGCAGCTTGGTGTGAAGAAATCAACTGTGGGAGCAATTATTAGAAAATGGAAGACATAGAAGACCACTGATACTCTCCCTCGATCTGGGGCTCCACGCAAGATCTCACCCCGTGGGGTCAAAATGATCACAAGAACCGTGAGCAAAAATCCCAGAACCACACGGGGGGACCTAGTCAATGACCTGCAGAGAGCTGGGACCAAAGTAACAAAGGCTACCATCAGTAACACACTATGCCGCCAGGGACTCAAATCCTGCAGTGCCAGACGTGTCCCCCTGCCTAAGCCAGTACATGTCCAGGCCCGTCTGAAGTTTGCTAGAGAGCATTTAGATGATCCAGAAGAGGATTGGGAGAATGTCATATGGTCAGATGAAACCAAAATAGAACTTTTTGGTAAAAACTCAACGAGACGTGTTTGGAGGAGAAAGAATGCTGAGTTGCATCCAAAGAACACCATACCTACTGTGAAACATGGGGGTGGAAACATCATGCTTTGGGGCTGTTTTTCTGCAAAGGGACCGGTACGACTGCTCCGTGTAAAGGAAAGAATGAATGGGGCCATGCATCGTGAGATTTTGAGTGACAACCTCCTTCCATCAGCAAGGGCATTGAAGATGAAACGTGGCTGAGTCTTTCAGCATGACAATGATCCCAAACACACCGCCTGGGCAACAGAGTGGCTTTGTAAGAAGCATTTCAAGGTCCTGGAGTGGCCTATCCAGTCTCCAGATCTCAACCCCATAGAAAATCTTTGGAGGGAGTTGAAAGTCCGTGTTGCCCAGCGACAGCCCCAAAACATCACTGCTCTAGAGGAGATCTGCATGGAGGAATGGGCCAAAAATACCAGCAACAGTGTGTGAAAACCTTGTGAAGACTTACAGAAAACGTTTGACCTCTGTCATTGCCAACAAAGGGTATAGAACAAATTATTGAGATGAACTTTTGTTATTGACCAAATACTTATTTTCCACCATAATTTGCAAATAAAGTCTTTAAAAATCAGACAATGTGATGTTCTGGATTTTTTTTCTTCTAATTTTGTCTCATAGTTGAGGTATACCTAGGACCTCTCATATTTTTAAGTGGGAGAACTTGCACAATTGGTGGCTGACTAAATACTTGTTTGCCCCACTGTGTGTGTGTGTGTGTGTGTGTGTGTGTGTGTATATATATCATGTGTGTGTTGATACACACACACACACACACACAAATAGAAGTGCTATTTTTATTTACCATTTCCTTGCAATCCTACTAGAGAAAAGTGAAAATCAACTACACATGTTGTCTGTGACAAGGACTCTTTAACACTCTCCTTCTCTACTCCACCTTCCCTTTCTTGTGATCATCGCTACCTTACATGTCATCAATGATACGTAGCGTAGTTTGTGATAGACATGAGGATGTCATTTTGAAACTGTGCCTGTTTTAATAGGCCCGTCAACTTATTCCCATTAGCTGCTGGTCATAGGTCACACTTGACCCTAGGCTGGCAGGCCTGACCAACCTTCAGGCCCCTGGGAAATGTCCGGGTGCTCCCGATGGCCATTTCGCCCCTACCTGAAAGGATATGAAAGCTTTTGTACAGAAGTATAACAATTTCCCCTGTAAATGTCATACTGTAATAGATTATACAACCAAAGTATTATTGCACATGCATTATTGTTAAAGAATGAATTAGTAGTTTGTTTAGGTGGAGCTGATTTTGAACTATTCAAACTAATGATTAATGTATACGTTTTAACATGGAAAGATGTGTGAGATGTCAGTCTATATTTCACTCTCATATCACTTTCCCTCTGCGTGTTTCCTTTTTGCTGCAGATGTCCAGCAGCTGTTGGTGGTTAATGAAGAGGTTCCCCCTGAGCAGCAGGAAGGCCAGGAAAACCCAGAGCCCCCCCCACACATAAAACAGGAACAGGAGGAACCCTGGAGCAGTCAGGAGGGAGAGCAGCTTCAAGGGCTGAATGAAGCAGATATCACCAAGTTCACCTTCACTCCTGTCCCTGTGAAGAGTGAACATGATGAAGAGAAACCTCAGTCCTCACGGCTTCATCAAAGACAAACTGAACACATGGAAGCAGAAGCTGATGGAGAGGACTGTGGAGGACTAGAACCAGCCAGGGACTCAGATCCAGAGAGACATTTACTACCAGGGACTGAGGACAAGAAACCATTTGGATGTGCAGAGTGTGGGAAAAGATTTGGAAAGGAAACACATCTGAATACACACATGAGAACTCACACAGGAGAGAAACCATTCAGCTGCGCGTTCTGTGAGAAATCTTTTACACAGAGCGGAAGTTTACAGAAACACATTAGAATCCACACTGGAGAGAAACCATACAATTGCTCAGTATGCGGTAAAGCTTTCATTGAAAGTGGAAATCTGACAAGACACATGATAACTCACACAGGAGAGAAACCCTTCAGCTGCTCAGTTTGTGCGAAAACCTACAGAAGCAAGGCTGACCTCAGGAGACACATGAGAACTCACACAGGAGAGACTCTCTTTAGCTGCTCATTTTGTAACCGCAAATTTCCCTGGCGTTATCAGGTCAATACACATAAATGTGTTGGTCGTCAGTCCTCACAGCTTCATCAGACTCAAAGTGAGGAGAACTGAGAGGCAGAGCCAGGAGCTGGAGACTCTTCAAGGGTTCACATATCCATGGAAAGTCTGCAAAATGTTTGAAATGCTAAAGTTCCATACCGTTTTCTGTTTAACTAATTGTCACAGTAATCTTTCTTGGTTATCCTTCCATACAGTGTAACATGTTCCATACATTACTGATAATTTATTAGTGCGAATGCTGTTTACAGCATTCCACTATAGCAGTGGTTCCCAAACTGTTTGTGCCCAAGGCACACCAAAGGACAAGTAAAAATCTCAAGGCACACCTATTGTGCAAAATAGCCCTCATAACACGTGTTATCACTCATATCATGTAAAATATCTGTAAATGTGCATAATTATTTACTAATGCCAAATAAAATGTGACAAAGACAACTATTACTCATGAAATATTTATTAACGAAATATTTCAGAAATTAATTTGAAACTTTATCAAATTAGGCTTCATCAAAGCAGCAACACACCTTTAAACCAGACAGGTCACACAATTAAAAATGAGGCAAAGGAAACTCAGCAGAAATTCAGCACAGAGAACTGTCAATGCAAGGAAGCTGCATTGTCCATGGTCCTGAACTACAAATTATAAATGTAACATTTCAGCAATCAGCATTGAAACATGTGCTATTGTAAATATTTTGCTGACTTACAAATTAGTGAGATACATGTGCCTGTCGGGGCGCGCAGAATGTTTTAATCCTTGGTGGCACTGAGGAGAGGGCCACTCGCAAGTCCTGTTCAACAGAGAGCCGTGACTTCCTGTTGTTCTTCATGTAAATCAGAGTAGAGAACGCCAACTCCAGAGATGGGGTCGTTACTAAAAAAATTTAATATATTACATATTACTTTTTTTTTAAAAAAGTAATATATTACACTACTTTGTTACTATCTACATAAAGTAACTCGTTACTTTACTCGCCGAGCACGTACGAACTGCGCATGCGTAAGTGGCAATAACTTTCCTTACCAGCAGGCGGCGGTAGTGTGTATTTGTCATTCAAAACAGGCAACAACCGGAAGACAGAGAAGAAGAACAGACTACGTGATATAAACAAACAACAAATAGCGTGTGCGTTAGCTTCACCTTAGCATGTGTTCTTTGCAGGTGCTTGTTGAGGTTTGACCACGTGGTGTTTACAGCAGTGGATAACAGCTTCTGGCCTGGACACAGTTTGCACCTCACCGTCACATTCCTGTCTATTCTTCGGACGAACTCAAAGTAATGGGCATACCTCCACCCCTCGAAAGTTATCGCTGACTCAGCCATGTTTATGCAGCACTGCACATGGAGATGTGGACGCGCAAGTCGCGCAGATTACGTACATATAAACCTACAAAGTACTGATATAGTAAATAGTTGTAGTTGTGTAGTTGTATATTGCAATAATAACGTATGGCTGTCACAAAATCCCACGGCACACCCGGACTTGCCTCACGGCACACCAGTGTGCCGCGGCACACCGTTTGGGAACCACTGCACTATAGTACTTCAAATCTTTATTCTTCCTCTGATTATTTCAGCCCATATTTTGACTCTCCATAACTTCAGCTTATTTTCAGCTACAGAAACCATTCAAATATTAAACTATTCAGCCTTTTCAGGAATCGATGGGAAACCTTCAACTTAAAAAAAATATGTTATACTTTTTGAAATATTCAGCTTTTTAAACTCTTTTTTAACATGGAAGTCAATGGGAGATGCCTTCAAATCCTTTTTTCCTACACCTTGCGCCAAATGCTACTCCTTCCACATACTTTCAGCTAGACACTTCATTCCAACTTTCAAATGTTCACAAGACCTTCAGCTATTCAAAATTGAATTGAACTTTTTGAGATATTTAACTTAGTTTGGAGCTTGGTAGAGGCCTTTTCAGATTTTAACATTAGAGTGGATGGAGCAGCTCGTTAAGTCTAGAGTGCTTTGATCTCAAAACAGAGTGCAGGAGATGCTTGAAATTCTCCCCAAAAAATGTTTTAAACTTGCCATAATTCCCAAACCCTACACTCCTCAGACATCTTTTTTCATGAAAAACGTAGGAAAACCTCTCCTAGGTTGAAAAAATAATAATAATTAAACAAAATGTCTCTTGAGGGCATGAAGACACAAAAAGTCCACCTAGCTCCCAATTGATTCCCATGTTAAATGTTTCCGGATCTTTCTTCAGAGCAGAGAGAAGTACACTTTAGACAAACTGCTCCCATCTCCACATTTTACACACAAAACCAAAAAAGGCTCCGCAGCCGTTGCGAGGTTCCGGCGCTAACAGTTCATGAGCGTGCTCCCCCGCCCTCTGTCAACACTCGTGACTAGGGTTGGGTACCGAGAACCGGTTCCAACATTTCGATTCCAACGGCATCATTTAGACATGTGAATTTCGGTTCCGCTTTTCGAAGCCTGAGGAAATGTTTCTCGCCGCTCTCCGTAGCCTACTGTATGACTGCGGCGGGGCAGGAAATGTAGCGTTGTACCTACACTTCCTACAGCGTAACCTGAGACCAGGGCCGGCCCATCGCACTGGCGTTATAGATGTTCGCCTTGGGCGCCAGATCTGTGGAGGCGCTGCGCTGACAGCTCTGGGAGGGAAAACAAATGTTTTTACCGTTGCTGCTCATCCTAATTTTCGGCCTTGATGTAACAACATTCATAATTAAGTAAATGTAACACCCTTTTCATCCCGGTTACACTTTTCATTTGCCCTGTACGATGGGCGCTGTAAGTGATGAAAATGGGGGATGTTGGCTTATCTGGCACCCGCAGCTCACAGCCAAAGTGCGAGTGAGCGTGGGAGCGAGCGAGGGAGAAAGAAAGGGAGGGCGCTGTTGTTATTAGCATCTGGTGCTAGCTGCTCCAACGGAAGAAGAAGATGTTTCTACAATAATGTGGAGGGAGAGTCCTCTCCAGTCAGACTGAGAGGCTGATAACTACAGCTCAGTGAGGTAAAGGACTGAGTGTTTAGATAGTTCACTTTAGTCTAAGTTATCTCAGTGGGTCTCAAACGTTTTGATCACAATTTATGTAAACACATATTTCCAAGGCACTCCTTTATAATTATTGGGATAAAACAGGTTTTAAATCATTCCAATGTATACTATAGGACAGTAAACCAGACATATCCTTTTAAACTGGAGAGATAAAAAAATATGCATAAATAAAATAGTAAAATAAGATATGAATGAACAACAAAAATAAAACACGTTACATGTATTTGTTATTGGCTATGGTAGGTTATTGGTTATGTTCACATACTTATTTGATTATTAAAATGTAAACCGATCTTTTTCATATGGGTGTTTAGAGTTGTACCCCCTAGATCTAGACTCTAGTAATCCTGCTTAAAGTGCACCAGATTGAAGCATTTTACTTTAAAATGTTCAAACATTTCTTCCCGGTATGCCTGAGAAGGCAGATATGCTTGTTTTTCTCAACAAGAACTGTTTTTAAATGGGGGGGGGGGGGGTTTCCTTTAAAAGTTGGACTGTTGCACTGTTGTAGCTTCAGTGGTTCTCAGGTTACAGTTACATAGCAGTGAATATAAACAGACTGATTAATGTGAATATTACTGTAAGCTAACCTGTGTCAAAGTTTCTCGAATAAATGTAATTTTTTTGGTGGAAGAAGCCATTTATAATTTTTTTACCCTGCCCCTCAAAGAATCGGAATTGAGAACCGTTAAGAATCGGAATCGGAATCAGAATCGTGGAAATTCAAACGATACCCAACCCTACTCGTGACACATGAGTGGCCAGCCTAAACAACAATAATCGCTGCTTGGCAACGGTGTGTGGCGACAAAGTACATAGACATTTTGACAGGAGAGATTTAGTTTTGCCGGTATTCAACATATTTTACCAGTCATAGTCCGGTAATTATTTACACTCTAAGAAGAGTCCTACACAACAGACATGGCGTCAAAAAGGAGTAATGTGTGGAAATATTTCGACCAGGTTAGTGAGTGCGGTGTAGAGGTCAAACTATGCCAAATTAAACGTATACATGCTATACCTTGCTATACCCGCAACCTCCGTTCCAGCTGAGAGGGTCTTCTCTACAGTTGGCCTGATTGTGAATCGCCTCTGCACATGAAAGCTGTAGGCCTATAGCTGTCAAACTGTGATCACCAGTTCAATACATTTGATAAATTAGACTTGGTTTCTATACTTATTTGAACATGTGTTTATTTATTTCCAAAAGTTATTGAAAATATATTTTTGGAAAATAATTTTTAGAATCTTTTTTTTTACCCAACTTTTTTTTTTTAATAGGATATATACATTTCGGTTAACCGGTTAACCGTTTTTTGGGGGGTCGAATATTCGAATATACATTGCTTTCAAATTCCCATCCCTAATACGGACATGTATGAGTACATAGCCTGCCACCCTTGAAAGCCAGTGCCAGCGTAATTCACACACTCTCCATGTTTGTGTTAGCATTGTTTTTAGACTTGCATCCAGAAATGTGTTAATAATCAAATGCATAAAAAAATATATCTGATCTATGCCTTAAAGCAGGGGTCTCCAACCTTTTTTAGGATGAGAGCTACTTTCAAAAAATAAAACAAGTCCTGAGCTACTTCTATTCCTCTTTTTGTGTATATATTTAGCACATTTTAACATTATTATATGCTTACCTTTAACCTTTGTGTGCTGTTTGGGTCTGTGGGACCCGTTTTCAGGGTTTACTAAAAGAAAATGTTAATTATTTGAATATGATCACAACCAATAACAAATCATTTAAACTTGTTCATTCTTATCTTATGTTACCTAGTTAGCATTCTTTCTTTTTATTTATGCATATTTTACTAATCACTCTCCTTTTAAACTGTTTTTTTTGTACTGTCCTATAGTACACACTGGAATGATTTCTTACTTTATTACAACTATATTAAATAGATAAAGGTGTGCTCTCTCTGTCTCGCTCGCTCACAGAGGCTGTGTGCTCCTCCGTGGCGATGACGGCTAGTGTTAAAAAATAATAATACACATATTTACACATGTCCCCCCTGTCCCCAGTGGAAATTACGTCGTGTGTGTGTGCATCAAGTGCAAGTATGCAAGTTGCAGCGCACACACACAGTAAAACTCTGCCCCTAATGTGCTGTATAGGCTGGCATGAATAGGCTGTGTTCAATGGGGCTGATGTGTTGTGTAGATTCTGCAAGAAGGAAAGGTCACACTCCTTATGAAGCGGTGAGCTACCGCTCCACATTGCTTTTCTTCCCGACTGCAACGCTAGTTCCGCAAATCAAGCAAGAACGTGATTGGTCGACATTCATTGTGGGGGAGGAGGGGTGTTAGATAGATATAGAGTTGTAGTAAGTAGATAGGGTTCGCTATGAT